AAGACAAGTGATGCAAATGAAAACAATTGCTCACCACCCACAGACTGATGCCCAGTCTGTCCCCCAGGAGCAGCCCCCTGGCCAGCTTTCCCCCTAGTTTATATACTGAGCATGACACCATATGGTATGGAATATCCCTGTGGTCAGTTGGGGTCAGCTGTCCCGGCTGTGTCCCCTCCCAGCTTCTTGTGCACCCCCAGCCTACTCGCTGGTGGGGTGGGGTGAGAAGCAGAAAAGGCCTTGACTCTGTGTAAGCACTGCTCAGCAGTAACTGAAACATCCATGAATTATCAACACTGTTTTCAACACAAAACCAAAACATAGTCTCATACTAGCTACTATGAGGAAAATTAACTCTATCCCAGCCAAAACCAGCACAGTGGGCATGGGGAGTTGATCTAGAGAGAGAAAGATAGAGAGCTAAAAATGTCAAGCAAAGCTAGACAGCCATGACAATAGGATAAAGAGGCCAGTCTGCAGGTCTATGAAGCATTAAAATAACAAAGAGAAAGGGCAAGCTTGGCAGCATCATAGGATTTAAAGGGAGGAACAGAAGAGGATTTACTTGTCTTATTTGCTTGAAAGCAAATCCCTCTTCCACGTTGTGGAGTGTCTCCAGGGGACATGTTGCAGTGCCACTGTTTGAGGACATACCACACTTAGGAGCCTTTGGAAGATGAACCTGCATGATGGCGGGGCTCCACCATCCCTGGCTTCCAAGGGGAATGCAGGAAGGTGGGGTGGGAAGATGACACGACTGTTTTAGAAAAGTCTCAGAAGTAGCATGCTCTGCCAAGCCTCTATCCTGCATGGCCACTTATATCTGAAACCTGCCAGGCCAAGCTCTGAGCAAACAGGGGCTTGACTTCATGAAGCAAACTTTCAGCTTCTCTTTAAAGTCACAATAATGATTCTTTCCAGAGCCAAGGACATGCCATGTAAAATGGCTTTGGAAAAGAAAAAAAAAAAAGCATCCTTTTTTTTTTTTTTTTTTAAGCCTGATTTAATAGCATCATTTTGCTTTTAAGCTTTTGGCAATGCCTGGTCCTGTAAAAGAAGTATGTAGCTGTTGGAATCACGTGGAAGTCGATGCTGGCATAACACAGATCACAGCCACTACATGTTATACAAAGGATTTCTGTCATCCTGGACACACTCTGCTTCCTATGGCACCAGTAGTACAATCCCTCTGTGCTCAGCTCTAAATAATTTTGCTACATCAGCAAATAACAGGGTACGGCTGACTGCAGACCAGGAAGACTCAATTTAGCGTTCACTTACTACACAGCTTCAGAGCAGGGCCTTTCCCTGCCTTCCTGCATCTGTTTTCTCATCTGTTAAATGGGAATTTTAATCCTAATCTGTTTGCAGGGGGAGCAGTACGGGATCGTCAAAGGTGATGCTTTAAAATGTAATAGTCAGCCTTATGTGCTAAGCTAGACATTGGAGTGGTTTTATGGTACAGTTTAATTGATGACTGCTCCGCTTATAGCTAGCTAGTAAGTGCAAGACTTAACATTTCCTCTCAAAAATGTGGCACCTTGTTTGCGATGCAAAGAATACCTCTGCAGAGAATAACTCCTTACCTATGGGCGTAGCTGAGCCATATTTTGGGATCCACACATTTCTGGGCATTGCTTGGGGTTTTTTTCCCCCCACAGTTAGCTTGATTATTAATTATTACTGGATTAATTTTTAGTAAAAGATACGTCTCACATGACATACAGGGCTGAGAGGAATGCTTTGGCAGTCCCTGGACTCTACAATATGAGCTAAGCCAAGACTGTGTTGTCACATTTTTGGGACAACAGTTGACTGTGTAGGTCACCTGACTAGCAGTTCTTCATCAGGATGTGTCTAGAGGAGACCAAAGTCCTGGACTTTATTTTAGCTTATGAGAACAGAGATGGGACTACTGGCTTCTCTGTTCTGCTTTCAGGTCCAGATTCTCAAGTGGTGTAAATCAGGGTGCTCCCATTCAAGCAAAACTGCTGTAATACTGTTTGTGTAAGATGAGGACCTGGTTCATAGATTCTGAACTGCTGTAAGACCTGTTCAAAAGGGAGTTAAGTGTGCTCAATACGTTGTACTACCTGTAATCTCAAATGATCCTGCAAGGTTCAGGATATTGCAAATGTAGAGAGCTTTGTAATAAGTAATCATTTTGAGATTGCTGGAAAACTGAAGAGTTAGTGCTGCTTAAAGGAGAACAAAATAAGCATTAGCACAAAACAGTTTTTGCAACAATCAAGTTTGATGTATGTCCCATTCTGTTGATAACATTTCCTCAGAGCCCTTCACAAGAAGGGAAAGCAACTTGTAAAAGCTGGGAATGCAGGAAAGAGCTAAAATTGCAGCCAGAGTTCAAAGGAACAAACAAAGAAAAGCATATTTCCATTTCCATTATGGGAGAACATTCTTGGGAGTTCAGAGCAGCAAGCTGAGAACACACCAGCCAAGCCTTTTCTAAATAGGAGGTACAGAGCTGCAATGAGCTTTTTGTCTTCATGCATCGCAGTTCTGAGCACCTCTGCACTTAGGAAAGACAGGTGTTCCTGAGACCTTTAAAATCCCTTCTCTTTTTTTGTAGGAAGAGGCTGTTTCAGAGTTAGAAAAAGGGCTGGTTTGCAGACCTCTGAGTACAACACTGCAAGCCAGGGTCCAAATTCTGTCAAACCCCAGAGAAATCTGGCTTCCACCCCCCATGCCGAAAGCCTGCTAAGCATCATACCCATTTCACACCCTACTCCGTCACACCTCCCCAGCACTGTCCCTCTTGCTTCCAAGCACTGTCTCCGTACTGACTTCCCCATGTTAGTTCTGCTTTAATCAGGCAAAGAAACCTCCGGCAGCTTGGGAAAACTGGCAGCTTGGAGGAGAGCTTTTGTTTGTACAAGAAACGTTTTCATCCAAGCAAGCGCAACAATCTCATTATTTTGAATAGCCATACATATGCTGGAAACCTAGATACCAGATACCTTCTCCCCTGATCTGTCATAGGACCAGAGAGATTTCTGCCTGTTTGATTCAGTTGCGGTGCTACAAAGTTTTAGCACTTGCTTTTTTGGTGTCCGTAATGAGACAAGCAGTCTTCCAAGCAGTACCAAAAAAGCACTCTTTGTCATCACCACTAAAACCTCAGACACTTTACCCTCAGCAGACACGAGTGCTGGAGACTTGCAGCCATACTGCTTCCAGCACCGGCTGGTCTTATCAATTAGCTGTTTCCCCACAGATGGTGCTTCTTATGTAGAAGGACAGAACAGAGACAAACTTGTCCTGCTCAGAGACACTTGCTTAGAAATCTCTAGTGAATCTGAAGGTAAATCCATCTGCTTTCAAACTGCTTGCATGTATCCTGCAAACCTTCTGTATACCTGCTGGATTCATGTGCCCTAGAGAAGGGTAGACCCTGGCTGAGAAAGTGCCTTTCCCTGGCTTGGCATACCCCAATGGGACTTGGCCCATGGGCTCCTCCATTTCTGAACTCTCCAAAGGGGCTGGCTTTCCTCCCTCCATTAAATGCTGGGCATAGCCCTGCCCGTGAGAGCCTGTTCTTTACAAACAGACCGCCTTTTTGCAGTGCGGTCCTGCAGTCATTTACATATTCAAAGCACTCTTTGAAAAGGCCCGTAGCACAGTTTTATGAGCATAAAATCTTTCATGCAATTAGGTGATGTGCAGATGCCTGTGCATGGCTTTTAGAAAACCTTACCGAAGAGGGACAAACCTCACACTGTATTTCGGGTGGGTGCCTCAGATCACTGAGGCCCTGCAAAACTCAGCACAATACTTCACTGAACACTGTCTCTTGCCCTACCTCCTGGTTCATCAGACTGTAGGGCTGGAGTACTCTCTTGGCATTTTGTCATTCGATTACTTTACAAGCCCATTTTGGGAGGAGGGGACATAATTTATCTTGATACATTTCACTTGCTATCCATCATGTTAACCAGGTGGGATTGGCGGGTAAGCCCATGGGCGGTCAGGGAGGCAGTAGCCAGCCCAGCTTCTTCGAACGGCTCCTTGTTGATGTAGTTCACAGGGAGGCCCTGAGTTTGTCCGCATTATGGCAGGGCTGACCCCTTGCTCAGGGCTCTCGTCACTCAGATTTCCTTGTCCCTTTGCCCTCACCCAGGTTGGAGGACACACCATGCTGCCTATCCGCTGGATGCCTCCGGAGAGCATCATGTACAGGAAGTTCACAACAGAGAGTGACGTCTGGAGCTTCGGGGTGATCCTCTGGGAGATCTTCACATATGGGAAGCAGCCCTGGTTTCAGCTCTCAAACACAGAGGTACAACAGTGCTGAGACACCTCAGCTGGAAACTGTACTTTTTACCATCTCTCCTTTCCAGATTGCTTGCAAAGCACTTTGTACATAGATGGCCTCCTCCTTGGCACGCTTCCATGGGAGAAGCGTCATTATCTCTGTTTAAGAGCTGGGGAAACTGAGGCATGCAGGAGTGAAAGGGCTCTGCCAAAGCCATGTACTGGCTCATCCTCAGTCTCTCCCTTCTAAGTTCCCGACATACCTCCATAACAGCCACACCTGATAAAATCTTGGGGTGCTGCCAGAACTGAGGATACCCAATTTGCTGCTGGGATCTAAGTTATTGTCATGGCCTGTATTTCCTCTGCTCTCTTTCTCCTTACTTTATAGCTGAGGCTCTTACTGCAGCCTTCAGTTTATGAGAAAGTGTTTGAAGCCTGTTAGATAGCATGTGGAACATTTCTGTGGGTTTTTTTCCCATAGGGATATCTATTATATGGTGCCCCAGTTCATTGTGGGTAGGACCCAAGGAGCTTGTTCGTTCTTGTTATTTCTTTGAATAGCAAAAGTTGCAGCCCATCAGTATAGGGCTATACTGTAAAAATGTTGAGGGAAGGCTGGCTGGGATTAGCAGAGCATCAGAGCTGAGGTTTGAGGCACATCAGCAGAAATGCATTGGAAGATTTTTGCTCAGAATAGCAGGGGGTATTATAGAAGAAGAACAAGATGCATTGACATAGCAGTGTGTGGGAACCTTGCACATTTTTATCCTACTGTGTATCTAATGGATTTCAAAAATTTCACCTTTTGTAATGAGAAATGTGCATTTTCTGCTTTCTGGATACAGATCCCTTAATTAAGTGAGTTGCAGAGACAGCAAATCCAAGGTGTTGCTTTACAGCTCTAATACTTGCCCATTCGTGTGCTCAATGGGGCCTGACTGTATATCCCAAAGTAGCACACGCAAACATTTTAGAGACACAAACAATGGAATCGACAGCGACAGAAGTTATTTGTCACGCTATTTAATGAGCTGCTCTTGCATTTCCCTGGGAGGGTAAATACAAACACACACAAATGAGCACATGCAGCTTGTACATGGGTGATAGGCACGCTGGAATATGACAGCTCAGCTATCCCCATGCTTTCTGCCTCAGTTTGCTCTGCAGGGCATTAGGACTGAGAATAGTCACCCCTAACCTTGAGGGAGGAGGGCTGGTTAAAATCTGTACAGATACAGCTGTACTGGCTTTGCTACCATCCATGGAAAAAAATCTTTTCTTTTCCTTTGCTTTCCTACTGCTGTATCCAATTCTTTCTGAGAACTGAGGACTCCAACCCCAGACCACACTATCCTGGTGGGAGACCCACATTAGCTCTCCTCTGGCTCATTTTTCACAGTTTGTGGAGGGGTGGGCAGAGCCTGTGTGGCTGCAGAGGACTGACACCTCCACCAGTCTCGGTGTCAGCCTGGCCGCAGCTGTAGAGCCCGCGGAGGGGCAGGTTAACTGCATCTGTGCCAAGCTCCAGGCTGCTAGGGCTGGACCGAGAGCAATCACCAGGCTGATAGAGCATCGCTGCTGCTGGGTGTGGGCATTAGCACGGCTGGGATGCCCACTCCCTCCTCTGGCATCCGCATGGCCTCATACTCCCAGAGCATTTTTAGCAGGTTTTTTCAAGGCTGGAAGAGACCCCGCCTGAGCAGAGGAATGAGGCAGGGCACCACCTCGTCTGAAAGCCTCAGCCAGTCCATTAACGTCTGTTCTATGGCCTTCCTTTGCCCTGGAGAGAAAGGGCCCACCACAGGGCTCCTGTGCATGTCCAGGATGTCCTGTCAGAAACCATAACTCACCTCCTCCCACAGGTCACCGCTGCCAGCAGCTTTATGGCAATGCAGGCTTTTCTGCATGCTGTGTCTTCCTCGCCCTGCTTTCAGCAGGTCCTAATCTCTCCCCTCTGTATTTATATGCAAACAGCAAAGCGATAAGTATCCGTTGAGCTGTGTGGCAGGCCCATTACTATTCATAAATGATAAATTCCAAACACCCCTTGCTGGGTGGCTTCCCTCAACACACTGCTTGGGATCTGTGTTTATCTGCAGAGCGTGGCAGGTCACTCGCGCACTGCAATGCTGGGACTCATCAACTCCAACCAAGGAGGCCAGATGGTAATAGCAGCTCTCTGACAAATCATACCTCCCTGCCCTTTGCATCCATTCCTCCAGTGAACAAAACACAAACAGACACTTAGGGAGTCCTTTCCAATGGCATCCCTCTGAAGACACTTTAATGCTACCCAGGAGCTTACATTTCTCTCATTAGCAGCACTGACCTGACCCAGAACAGAGTGTTAGCACTGCAAATTTTTTTTCTCCATCACAGATGTGATTTGAGATGAAATTTCATTTTTTTCAGCTGCTTTTCTATGTCAAAATGAGGCAAAACTGCCCTTGGAAGTGGAGGTAGAAAAAGATGCTCTGAACTCTCCCTTGTAGAACTCTCCTGGGCTTTGCAATGGAAAGGATTCTTGATTTTCAGGGAAGAAAAATATCATTTCAGCTGTGCAAAATATTACTTTAGTTTGGGGATTTTAAGGCTTTTTTTCCTTCTTCAATTATCAGGAAAAACTGACATCAGAAGTTAAAACTTCATTTCACTTTCTTGTGACCTCGTGTTTGGAGAGTGCATTGAGGTAGGTAGGTGTCAAATGGGGAAAGTTTTTGGGAACTGCAAGACTGCAGCTGAAGATAAACTTTTCATTGTAAAATTTTCATTAACAACACACAAACAGGTGAGCGCTGAGGATCTGCAGACCTCTTGGCTTCTCAGTGCTCCCATTCACTAAATGGTATCACATCAGACAAGAAGTAGCTGGGACAGGACATCCTCCAGGAGCTGCCCAACTGGTATTCAACATCTCTTTTCTTTCTTTTTCCAGGTCATTGAGTGCATTACCCAAGGCCGAGTTTTGGAAAGGCCTCGAGTCTGCCCCAAGGAGGTTTATGACATCATGTTGGGCTGCTGGCAGAGAGAACCTCAGCAACGGCTCAACATCAAGGAGATCTACAAGATCCTTCATGCTCTGGGCAAGGCCACACCAATCTACCTGGACATCCTTGGCTAGCAGTGGCCACTTGTTGAAAGTCCCTGCTCCTTCCTTCCGTCCTTCCTTCCCTCTCCCCCTCCCAAGTCCGTTGCCCCACAGCTCCCAAGCAAACATCTTCATATAAACTCAAGTGCCTGCTACACATACAACACTGAAAAAAACAAAACAAAAAGCAAACCAACAAAAATCCCACAAAACAACAACCTGTAAGGCAGTTTGGCTTATATATATTTATAGATATCTCTCTATATATAACTTCCACACCAATACAGAAAGAAGCTGCTGTTACAGAAAATTATAAGACTTTAAAAAACAAACAAACAAACAAAAAAGGGAGAAAAAAGTACTTAAAAATATATATATA